TCTGATTTTGACAAACACCACGTGTACATGTTCCATTGCGGGCCGAAACCCTTTTCCTCTTGTCCGTTATTTTTTTTTCCCACACGCTCCAACAATATTCTTCAAAATCTAAGAAACAAGAAATTACAACGATGTAGCCTTCGCGCGAAGCTGATTACTACTCCCCCCCCCCCTTCCCGGAGTCTTGATGCGCGCGGCTTGTATTGATTTCCAGTGCGGCTGAGATCGGCTGATGAGCCGGCGGGCGCGCGCTGAGCCGCCGACACTCCGCCATGATTCCGCCGCTGATTACACCCGACCCGCTCGATGAGCTTGCCGAACACGCCGCTCCCTCGGGGCTCGCCAAGAAGTGAAAAAAAAAAATCAAGAAAACTTTTCCCCCCTTTTTTTACGAACTTCCTTCTTCATCGGAAACTGCGGACAGAAATCGACTTGTCTGTCGGCGGCAGACATCGATTCGTAAAGAATCAATAGCGGCGGCGATAAGGGAGGGACTCCAGGAGGGACGGGGACAATCGGTCAATGGTCCTACCACAGTAGCAATGCGATGGTAACGTGGTAGTGACGCGACAGTAACGCGACAGTAACGCAACAGTAACCACAAATATTAACCGGATCCTTGGGGGAACAATAGCGGCGGCGGCGATAAGGGAGGGAATCAGGGAGGGACGGGGACAATCGGTCAGCGGCACGAACACGGCGGTAACGTGGTATTAACGCGACAGTAACGTAGTAGTAACGCGGCAGTAACGCAGTAGTTACGCGGCAGTAACGCAGTAATAGCGCAAAACATTGATGGATTAACGGCGGCGATAAGGGAGGGAATCAGGGAGGGACGGGGACAATCGGTCAGCGGCACGAACACTGTAGTAACGCTGTCGTAACGCGGTGGTAACGCGGCTGTAACGCAGTAGTTACGTGGCAGTAACGCAGTAATAGCGCCAAACTTTCCAGCTTGTGGGAAGATATGTGAGAGTATTGCTGCTAAGCAGATTGCATCCTACCTACTCCAGTCAGATTGTCAATCAGAGGCACAACATGCCTACAGAAAACTGCACTCCACCGAAACAGCTCTGCTGAAGATGACAGACGACTGGCTAGACAACATGGATAATGGGTTTATGACAGCGGTAGTTTTGCTGGACTACAGTGCGGCATTCGATTTGGTGGACCACAATCTTCTTCTACAGAAGCTCGAGACGTACGGGTTCACTGAGGATGCGTTGGATTGGACTGAATCGTACCTGACAAACCGCAAATGGCAAGTTTACACGAATGGAGCCTACAGCAGTCAGAACACCCTACACTGCGGGGTACCACAGGGTAGCTGCTTAGGTCCGCAACTGTACAACATCTACGTAAACGACATGCCGGAAGCGGTACAAAATGGGTCATTAGACCAATATGCTGATGATAGCACGATTCACACACGAGGACACACATTAGAGGACATAAGAACAGAAACCAAAACAGACTTAGAAAGAGTGGCAACATGGTCAGATGAAAACATGCTGAAACTAAATAATGGAAAGACGAAAACGATGCTTGTGGGAACAACAAAGAAAACCAGGCAAGCACCACCTTTGGAGCTGGAGCTAAGGGGACAACGTCTAGAACAATGTCCCTCAGTAAAGCTACTTGGACTTCACCTTGATCAAAACCTCACATACGACAACCACATTGCTCACATAGTTAAGAAGTGCAACAGAAGCTTGGCACAGGTGGGAAGGGTTAAGGACTTACTACCACATCGGCAGGGAATAGCCGTAGTCAACGCCTTAATAATCCCACATATCGACTACTGCTGCTCCGTATGGGGAAACACAACACAGAACAACATACGAAGACTACAGGTGGTCCAGAACAGGGCAGCAAGGCTAGCTCTTGGTTGTGATCGGGATGCACATGTGGACACTATGCTAAAGACATTAGGATGGCTGAATGTCAGGGACAGAATCCAACAGAGAAGCCTTGTCACATTTAAACGTATCATGCTCACCAAACAACCAAAGGCCTTGTACGACAAAATCACATTCCAATCTGAGATCCACAAGTACAGCACACGTTCAGCCAGCACAAACAAAATCAGACTACCAAAACCAAAATCAAACTCTCAGAAAAAGCGCTTTATGTACAGGATGTCACACACGTGGAATAACATAGGCAACTAGCAAAGTACTGGATTGTAAATAGTGAATTTGTGTAAAGTTTGCCATGTACTGTTAATTTTGTAATGTTTTTGTACGTTTGTAATATATGTATGTAAATATGAATGTGTAGACCACAGGAAGAATAGCCTCTTATGAGGCTAATTGTGGATCTGAATAAAACTGAAACTGAAACTGAAACATTGATGGATCAATGGCGGCGATAAGGGAGGGACTCAGGGAGGGACGGGGACAATCGGTCAGCGGCAGGAACAGAGCGGTAACGGAGCGGTAACGTTGTCGTAACGTGGTAGTAACGCGTCAGTAACGCAGTAGTAACGCAGTAGCACCAACGCCAAATATTAACTTAATCCTCGGAGGTTAAAATAAAATAAAAAGAAGTTAAATAGCGGCGGCGATAAGGGAGGGAATCAGGGAGGGACGCGGGCAATCGGTCAGCGGCACGAACACGGCGGTAACGTGGTATTAAGACAGTAACGTAGTAGTAACGCGACAGTAACGCAGTAGTAACCACAAATATTAACCGTATACCTGAAGGAACAATAGCGGCGGCGATAAGGGAGGGACTAAGAGAGGGACGGGGACAATCGGTCAGCGGCACGAACACGGCGGTAACGTGGTATTAAGACAGTAACGTAGTAGTAACGCGACAGTAACGCAGCAGTAACCACAAATATTAACC